GGGTATTACTCGGGAACAGAGAAGTGGGCTTACCGGTAGGTGGCCCGCTGGCTCAAAGCGTGCGGCTGTCACTGGTGCGAGCACCGCTCTCCCCAGCTGCTCTGACCCCTACACAGCCGTGCCACTCGCTTCCGTTGGTCATAAAAGGTCCGGTGCTGAAAAAACAGCACAACTGTTAAAACGGGGCTAGCTGAAGAGCTGCTTCGGCTAATCGGGGTTTATCTGGGTTTTCTCAGCGTTGCTAATTGTTATCTAGGTCAAGTGAATAAGTTATTTAAAAAAAAAAAGTGTGAATTCTTTACTTAAATGCATTGAAGTGAAGAAAATATAGCATGTGAACTGTAGTGTTTTGCATATTTGTCAAGATGTTAATTTGTTGTTCATTTAAATTGTTAATAGATTTGAAAAACATTTAATATATATAATTACTTGATAGTAAGTTGCTAAAAGTACAGGAATTTAAGACTGTGTCCTGTCTGCGTTGTCGATTCTCTTGCACGTGAAGGAAGCAATGAGAACGCAGTTCTGAGAATACTCAAAGGCATGCAGATTTAACAGCACAGCTGTGTCGACTGGGGCACCCCAGTTTGTAATGTAGGTGCTTTTCTGTAGGCAGGAGCCTTGCATGTCACTTTTGTTAAGAAAGCTCTTTGTAATTTTCTTTTTCTGTTTAGGATGGGGAAGTCAGAGTTCCAAAGTACACATACATCACAGCACATGGCTTCATTTTCCTGGCCACAATTTGCGCTGGATACTGACTTTTATCCTCTTGTTTGTGTTGGTGTGTGAAATTGCAGAGGGCATAGTGTCTGATGGGTAAGTGTATGTCTGCCTTCTGATAGATAGCACTGAGCATTTTAAAGGTTTCAGGGTAGGTATTGTCTCCCTGTCTAAATTCTCATCTAGACCATATTCCTTGAGGTTATAAACATGTAATCTGTATTCTTGGTGATTCACCTACCAGCCTTGTATCAGAAATTCCACAGACCTTGCCAAGTTGTGCACACATGCACAACTGACCTTAATAATTTTTAGTTCAGTTCAATGACACTATCTTTCCAAAGTCATCATAGCTAAATCCTAACAGTTCAAGCAGATGGTGACATTTTCGTGATGTATTTTCTATCCGAGGACCCAGTCCTGCAGTCCTTACTCCAGTGGGACTCCCATGTGCACAGTAGGTCGTGCCATTCCCTTGCAAATCGAGTTCTGCTCAGGTCAATAAAAGGAGCAACTGCTGGGCCTTATCTCGCACCCCACAGAGCTGCTTCTGATGTTTGTGCAGTTATATATGAACTGCTCCCTTGAGCAGAGCAGCTCGCATTAGATGAACATGATCCATCATGTGTAATTCAATTTAGGATGTCTTTAAACAATAATCTGTGGGGAAAAGTTATTTTATGCAAAACAAGTGGTCCAGGAGAGTGATTTATAACAGAAAGCTAATGTTGTATAACTGTGACTATGACCATCCTCTGAAGAAAGATCAGGTTTTCATAAATATTACAAATATTATGAATTTGCAACTCAAGGATTATACCTTGTGAAATAGAACAAAATGTCTGTTTAGCTATCTGTATCAGAACTATCCACCAACCAGTGTGAAAGGCACTGCAGTATTCTGCTATAGAAGCTGATGTCATAATTATTATAACTTCTCTTAAACATATAAAAATAGGATATTTCTCAGTGCCAGTTTTTTAAAAAGGGATTTTTCTCATACTTATTCAGAGTTAGCAGGGTGTGGGATGCTTAGAGCAAAATCTCCTGCTTTGAGTTTTCTGGTTTATTTTACTCCTTAGCAGTCCCTCTCCTAACGTTTATTTGCTATTTAACTTGACTCAGAACACTGCTGTTAAGTAATAAGTGTCACCTGATGAGAATCCAGCTCCTAGCTGCACTGGGGGAGTGCCAACCCACAGTCGTGACTCCTGAGCACTCAGCAGGCTACTGAGTGATCCAGTGAATAAAAGCAGATTTTGAGACTCTTCAGCTTTCTAAGACCAAAATGTATCATGTTGGTAAGTCCTTCTGAGAGCAACTGGATGCCAAAGGCTTTGGCACCTCAGCAACAGATGCAGCCTATGGAGATACAGTTATATAGGGGAGTTCCAGCAATTTCTGTCAGTGAAATAAATTTAAAAAACCCTCCCACTCCTGCAGTGTTACCCACTAAAGCTCAGGCTGTCTGAAGAAATCTGTTCATGTTGCTTTTTTTTTCTTTGCTGAGAATTCAGCCACGATGTACCAAAACCCTGGCATTCCTAGGAATTCGGAGGCAGGAGAATCTTTTCTCACTTTGCTGTACATGCATAGAACTCATTGGGTGAAGTGTTTGTGGCACAGGTTGAGTGCTGCTCCAGCCAGCTCTGTGGAGTTCACCACAATGTCCATGTGAGGGAGGGCTTTGCTTTCTTAGTACAGTTGCAGGAAGTGGTTCTCCTGAGCTCCTACAGATCTATTGGATGTTTGGGATGTTCTGCTCAGACGTGCGACTTCCTGTGATGATCTCCAGCTCCTTGAGAGCAGAGCCCCTTTTGTCTCTCCAAGCCACACAAAGGTAGCTTTTGCTGCAGCAAGAACAAATCCAGAGATGTTAACTGTTATTTTCCATGAGGTTCAGAGCGCAAGGTGTGAGTTTCCCTGAGCATTTGTGTCCTGAGATCTTCTTCATGGATGCCTCTTGTCCTGGAGCTGGTAGGGAGAATGAGGAAATTGTACCTCTTAACAGCAGAGGACACTCCTATTCCTTTTGTGAAAGACTAACAGCATTGACCAACAGTTTCCACGTGCCCAAAAGGCTGCAGTTGGCAGGACCCCCTCCACTGCTACCTGAAGCGAAGTGTTCAGCTTTATAGGACAAAATTTGAGATTCTATGGTTTTGTCATGAGTTTTATTTTTTTGATCACAGTTGCTGAAAACAGAACTAAGTCATTTTCATGCTGTAGTGCTGTTCCTTCTCCCAAACTGGAAGAAAGAAATGAAGTACTTTCACAAAATGTTTCTGTAGGAGATCTTAAACTGTACTGTCAGTTGGTCTTATCTACATGTTTTGATGGACAGCTCCCAAACTAGTTTAGCTTAAATTAACTTTTCTCATTTTGGAACTGAGCTGCTTACCCTAGTTTAAACAACGTTCCAATTGATTTCAGTAGGAAATAGGAACATACACATTTTATTTCCAGCATGGGGGAGGGATTTGAAATCCAACTATGTCATTTATCCAGTTGAAAATCTGAGGGCTTTACATACATAACTCATTCTAGGAAATCTTGTGTCAGGGCTGGGTACAAGATACAATTAATAAATTAGAAGGGAAACATTTAAATAGCCCAAAGGGTTTGATTTTCATAGATGTTTGCTTGTTCCTTCCGAAGGGTTTCGGAGTCGCGCCACTTACACCTGTACATGCCTGCGGGGATGGCGTTCCTGGCGGCCATCACCTCCGTCGTCTACTACCATAACATCGAAACATCCAATTTCCCCAAGCTGTTAATTGGTACGTCTCACAACCTACGAGACCTGGCGGTGTGACTGTGGTGCTGTGTGCCTGTTGGCTCTGTGACCTGTCAAGCAGTCTTGGGGCTGGCTCATACGGACAAAGCTACACCTGTATTCTGATCCCCTGCTTGCTGATACCAGACCCACTTCTGAGCTTACCTGGAACAGTTCACTGTTTTGAATGCCTTTAACTTCTGATAGCATTCTGTAGGGTGTTCTCAGGGATCCACTGGGACAAAGGCTTCTCTAGGAAAAACAGAATTTGTGGGAAAAGTAGCAGATCAAATTCTGAACTGTAAAAGCAATCTGAATCCCCTCGCTTGTCAGCATGTCGCGTTGCAGCGTGGTGTACGAGTGAAGCATCTGCCTGTGTGTGGCCTGGAGTGTGCAGGGAGTCAGAGGATATGGATGACAACGCTGGCTTTCAGTATGACACTGGAGGTGTTACTTTGCCTGCTTGTTCTTGCTTCCTGTTCCTAAAACTCCCTTTGTAAACTGCTTTGAGGCATTTCAAATGGAAAGTGCTATGTTTAAAAAATACCTATAAGTTTTCTGCAAGATTGTAAATAAGCCCTTACTAGCTACAGGTAATCGATTACTGATGAGAATCGTGCAGTTGGTGACCTCTTCTCTACTGTTTAAGGAGACTGCTGACTGTGGACATCTACATGTTCAGTCATCCTGTTAGCTATTATTTCTTTGAGTGTTCTGGCTCATCAAATTTTGGTCGAGCAGGTTTTCCATATCAATGGATTCTGCTAAGGTTTGTCTTGGGTCATTGTAGCTCTGTGTATCAATGATGTCTTCTAGTTTTTGTCAGGTGGTAAGAAGTTAATAACAACTGGGTTTGAGAAAGCTTTTGAATACTGAAGATTATCTTCAATAGCATGTTTTGGTAGGCAACCATCCTCTCCTGCAGGAGGACCCTGTAACGCCTGCAGAAACAAAACAAAAACAAAACTCCACCCTCATACCTCTTCAGAAACTTCGGATTTCTATCCAGGCTTGGCAACCTTTGTTTTTGGATTTGGGACTGCTTTTCTTCTTGTACCGTTCTTTGATATTTTCTGTCTTTTATAACCAGGTGGGGTCATTTAGTTACTTTTTAATAAGTCAATATGGTTTGTCTAACACCTTCTCACAGGACTAGATGTGATGTGAGAAAAGCGTCGCTAGCCTGTTACAGGCACCTGCGGAAAGCAAGCAGGGATTTTCTTGGGGCTTTTTTATTACTTCAGATGTATAATGGGGTGTTTAATAATTTAGTCTCACTACCATGCTCCTGCTGTTAAGGCGTTGAGGAGGGTAGCAGAAATGTACAGCTGGTAGTTGATAATGCATAGATGTGTAATCCATTCTCTGCAGGAATTTCTATTTTATGGTAAGTTTTTCAGTATTTAGAGCACTGCTGCTGGGTAAGCTCTGGATAATACTTGAATCATGAACAACCATACCAGTGAACACCAACACTTGTATTGTGTTATAGATACTAAAGTTAATAATTATGAATTTTCATCTTGTAAGAATTTCAAAGGAATAGACTCCTTTAGAAAACCTAATCTTAATAGGTAACTCTTAGGCAAAAAGGAAAGTCAAACTACCACTGTCCTTCCCACTGAGTTAGGCTGTTTTGAATTTTAATCCAAAGTCTTCACAAACTGATGGTCTTTGCTTTTTAATTTTTTTTTTTAGCTTTGTTTTGCTTTTAATTGTCCTGGATTTGTGAGAGAACTTCAGAGAGATGTTTCTGGAAGTCTCCATCCTTTATTCTTGATTGCACAAATGTATTATTAACTGTGTGGACTGTCATCTTTCAACGTTAATTGCGACTACTCTGTATTGACATCTGGGACTAGGTGATGACTACATTATGCAAATTAGCCCATCTTTTTCTGGGCCATCATTTTCTCATGATAGTTAAATTATACCTCTGCTCAGCTATCAACCCACTGGAGTGCAGGGTGGCCAGGAAACAGTTTTCTTCTAGACCCTAATACAAATGAGGTAAATGGGAACCACAGGGAAAAGTTTAAGTTGGTGATAAATTTTTGTTGATAGTATGAGAAAGGGAAGTGAAAGAGGGGTCTGGGTTAGTAAAATGTTGTAGAGGACATCTAACATTACACACACACACATGAAGTAAATGACCTGATATGGAATCCTCTGCTGCTTCTGGGCATCAGTTAAGTTTCAGCTAACTGCAGGGCATTGCCTGCCTCAGCTGCAGGATCACTCCCTGTGCTTGCCAAGAGCCAGTAACCTGATAAAGCAAAGGCTGATGGAGTCTTACCCAAAATTGAGTGAATCTAGTGGGAAACTCTCATGGATGCAGTACAGAAGATCCTTAAAGGTTTGTTCATTAATTCTGAACATGCCAAAATTTTCCAATCCTGTAAAACTTTGAGGTGTTTTCTTTTTTTAAAATCTTTTTCATTCTCTGCCTTAACCATTTGTATCACTTCATGAACAAGCAAGAGGCAGATACAGTAACAGACCTGGGGATTAGCATGTTTCCTTGGGGTATGAGAGACAAGGATGCAGAGTTCTTGTACTGATCCTGCCTGTCAGCTTTGTGCCCAGGCTGTTGGCTGTTTTGAAGTAGTCATTATCTCCTACCAAAAAAAAAAAAGTTGTGATTTGGAATATTTCTTTTCTGCAGATAATGATTGAGTCCAGGGTCCCAGTTGTGAGTCTCTAGCCTACTGGAACACTTTGATCTGGTCTGAATTTGGTTTTATCTGTATGCTTTTGACCTGTAATTATATTTCAACAAGCAGTTTTTCCAGTGTAGTGCTGTTTACCAGGGGACTCCTATAATGATGCTAATTTTGGTGCTTGTTGCAGTGTTGCAGAATGGATGCGTAACAGTTATAGAGGTTAGCAGGATGCATTTTTGAATAGTTTCCATACTGAACTGGAAAATCTACTTTTTTACCATTCAAAATACACAACTGAATGGGAAAATATGATTACTCTATTTTCTTTAAGGTAATTTGTTTTATAGATAAACCTCAGAAATTAAATAGTAGGAGAAAATTACATAGTAACACTAGACTTTGTGGTTTTAATCTGAAAGGTGTAGAAGTATGGGAACGTGAAGTTTTTGGTTTAAGAAAATTCTCTTTTTTTGTTAACCAGTTGTGATTATAAGACTGCCTTACCATTCTTGCCAATAATCAAGGGTAATGAGATTCATAACAGTCTTGGAGCATTAACCAAATTTGAGGAGCATCATTCACAGCCACCTTCACTTGCGGGGCAACTCCCTCCCTTGAACCCATCATGCAGATGGTTGTTTAAAACAGATGGAAATTTCCTTCAGGAGACTTCAGTTTGTGAAACTTTCCAAATATCACTAAATCTAATAGGAAAGGAATTTGGGACTAATGTTACCTTAATGTTTCCTTGTTTGTGGAATTGAATTAGGCTTCTGTTTTGACATGGGAAAGGCCATTTTCTGCTGTTGTATATTCTTGTTGCATTCTTTCTGAACATGTAATACTGCCAATGTATATTTTTGCACTGTGAAGCTGATTAACTTTCTTTTCTTTTTTCCTACAGCATTGCTGTTCTACTGGACTTTAGCTTTCATAACTAAAACCATCAAATTTGTAAAGTTTTGTGATAATGGAGTTGGATTTTCTCAGCTTCGATTTTGCCTCACAGGACTCCTGGTTGTTCTGTATGGAATGCTGCTGGTTGTAGAAATCAATGTCATCAGGGTGAGGGTAAGTTAGTACCATAAAAGTCTCGTTTTGTGTGTTTTTTGTTTTGTTTTTTTTTTTTTTTTTTTTTTGTTTTTGTTTTGTTTTGTTTTAGTTTGGTTTTTTTGTTTTGTTTTGTTTTATTGTAATTCCCCTTTCTGGGTATGTCATGTGAGATGCATTTCCAAAAGAGAGAGAAAAATCCAGTTAGAAATAGAAATATATTTGAGAATCAAAGCTGAATCCAATTTTATTAGGCCAGATGTATCCATAATTTTAAAAAATACCAGACTGCATTGTAGTGAAATTAAGATGAATTTCATCTGTTCAAGGTTGTTTTAAAAATGTCTGTTATGATTGACAGCTTCAGTCATCAGAAACAAGTTTCTGATGCAAAGAAAGCCTGGGTGAAAGGAGTTGTCTGCTCTACCAGAGAATATATTTAGACAAACAAATAACTCTCATTTTCCAGGAGACATCACAAGAAGTGATTTACTGGGGGAACTAGGCTTGCTATCAAGCCTCCCAGTTATGTATGTATATTTTCCCCCCCACTGTGTCTGCAGTCATAATTCAAACTGAGAGATGGCCAAAGTTCTTCCCTTCACCTGTCCCTCACTTAACTGTGTGCACAAATTAAACTTAGTCTCAGGAAAGAAAGAAACCTTTCCATGTAAATTTTCTTGCTGCTTCCCCTACATCAGTATGTAAACTTTTTCCAGCAATGCATTCAGCAAGGTGAGTTGTGTCTATGATGGGTTTGCAACTGCATAATTATATGAGATTTAATCACTGTGGACCTATAGGTTCTAAAGAAGAATAAAAAATGGTCACTGCCCATTGTCATCTTTTTTTATGTTCTATTTGTTTGGTTTTAGCTATTAAAGGATATTGCTGATGCTTAGAATTAACTAGTCAGCAGTATGTATTCTTTTTTACTGCCTAGTGTGTCTATGGCAGAGTTTGGAGAGCCAGGCTTATGCTACAGCTGCTGGAGGAAGGGGTTGGGGTGCATGGAGAGCTGGCCACTGCTGGGGCTGGGAGGGAAGAAAAATAAGGGATGAGTCTCCTCTGCCAGTAGAAACAGCAGACAGGGGCTTCACCTTTTTTTCTCCTGCCTTCCCCCGTCTTCTTGCAGAAGACAGAAGATTGACATGTTTGACTTTCAATCCCAGCTGTACCTTATCCCTTCCTTCTGCTGTTCCCATTGTTTCTTTAGATAGGCTTTCCTAATCCAAACACCATTTTTTCTAGGATCTGTGAATAATTTGTCCATGTATGGTTGGAGAAAAGATAGCAGTGAAGCATATCCAGAAATCCTACAAAGATTGATAGGATTTAGGTACAGTCACGAGTAGAGGTTGAATTAAATCTGTTATTGAGTCCTTTTCAGAAAGGAAATTGTATTCTTAAGAGGCTTGGCTTTTCATTCCCATTAAATGAGTGATGTCTGAAGAACTTCTGTCTTGACAACAGGAAATCATCAGCAGCCTACCCTCGCTCTTCCCACGTTTAAGCCAATGAGAACAGTGGTTGGTGCCATAGGCACCCTCCAGTGCAGTGGTTTCCCAGACCCGTTCTGGGCAGCACAGGTAGCTCCATGTTCTGAGCTGACCAAGCGTGAGGCAGTGTGGTGCAGCAGGTGGGCTGCTGTGGTAGCCCCAGGGCTAGTACGGCACGTGTTGTGCTGCCCGGAACACGGAGGGAGTGAGAGAGGCTGGGGCTGTACTCTTTGAAATGTAAGGCCAGTATTTTGTTCTGTAAGTGTGTGTATTTGTACCCCATAAACACAGTAATAATGAATGTTTATTTCTAGACTGGATGCCTCTGATTTTCCTCAGCACCTGAGGAATCTGGGTTGCTGTACTGGTTGAATTTGAATGATAGGTTTCTTGAGAACTTTTGAGAAAGCAAGGCTGATTCATTGATTATCTGCAGTGTCCTTTATCTCTTACCTATTTTTTGTAGACTTTTATTTTCTATGGGTTTAGTGTGATTCTTTGGGTATTTTTCTGAATTTCAGAGGTATGTTTTCTTCAAAACTCCTAAAGAAGTTAAACCTCCTGAGGATCTCCAGGACCTTGGTGTTCGATTCTTACAGCCATTTGTGAATCTGCTGTCCAAAGGAACATACTGGTGGATGAATACCTTCATCAAGACTGCCCATAAAAAACCAATAGACTTGAAAACTATAGGCAAGCTTCCCATTGCTATGAGAGCTCTGACCAATTACATTCGCCTTAATGAGGCCTTTGAAGCACAGAAGGTATGCAGAGTCTGGAATTATGTCTGTCTCCTTACTCAGTGCCTGTGTTTGTCATTACCTTTTATGCTATAAGCATGATATAAAATTAGATAAGCAAACATTATGCAAATGAAGCATCCATTAGCTTAGCTTTCCATATACAAAGAGATCACATACTCGGTTGTACCTCATACAAATAATGAAATTTCTCTACCAAACAATTACTGATTACATGCGTGTAAGATCTAGATGTTCTCTACTTTGATGTGGGAAGCAGTTATGGGCTGTACTCACTGAACACCATTATTGTTCTTCCTCATAGTCCTTCAGTTACAGGCTCAATATTAATGAGTCCTGGCAGGACTATTTTTTTCTATGTTATCTATGTTTTTCTATGTTATTTCAGTTACAGTTTGTCCACTGGAGAATTTAGGGATGAAATTACCTCAGTTCAAATCATGTTTGACTCCCTGAGGGGAGCTGAGTGTATTCAGGATTTTGAAGGAAGTCTTATATCCTGTCTAAAGAGAGTGTAGGTTTCCAGACTCTATGTTGACAGGAAAACAAAACCTGTCTGTTCCCTCCCTCTTTTTTTCTCACCCATCAAGCCACAAACAACACACTCATTTGATCCCTATTAAGGGTAGGAAAGAGATCACGGTTCTTTTTGTGAAGTAGAAGAGTACAAATTAATGCTTTGTTCTGACTCTATAAAAACAAATGAAACAGTAGCTGTCGTTTATGTGCTTTGCTACCTCAAAGATTGCAACTGGTTGTCAATGAATTAATGCAGGGATAAAAGTATCTTAATTTATCAAACCTGAAGTTAATGCCTAATCCTTACAAGTTTTTCTTTTTCTGAGCAGAATAAAAGGTCATCCTCTCCACAAGGCTCTAGGTCAATTTGGCGTGCTCTCTGCTGTGCTTTTGGGAGACCCTTACTGCTCAGTAGCACGTTCCGGATTCTGGCTGACTTGCTCGGGTTCGCCGGTCCGCTCTGCATCTCTGGGATTGTTCACAATGTTGGGAAAGGAAACAACACCATCCGCCCACAGGTACTGTCAGAATGTCATAGAAAGAGAGGAGTCAGAGGAGTGCTGCTACGACTTTCTATTGTTTGGCCTCAGTAAAGAAAGTGATTCTGCAATGAATTTGTGAATGCTGGAAATGACAGTACGTATGTCCTGCCTGTTATCCACTTGATGGGGAGCAAAACGTGTTACCCACACATCTAGTCAGGCTTGTGTTCTGGAAAATAACCTCAGTCAAGGTAATGGTGAAACATATCTAGAACATCACTAATATCATCAGGATTTTAGGTGCAGCCTTAAGTAAGAGACTGAAATGAGTATGGGACTGAGAGCTTTTCAGAAGGGAAGAACTGTCATTTTAGTAGGCTTGGTTTTTCATTTCCAAAAATTAGTTATGTCTAAGAGGATTAAAGCAGGCTTTTGTCATCACAATAAAATGCTAAGTAATTTAACTGTGACAAAGAATTTCCACTAGTGTCTTTGGGGAGGCTGCTTTTGAAAGATCAGCTGAAACATTTTTACAGGATGCTTGCTACTTAAATGATTGTTCACCAAGAAGAAACACACATACTTCTTGATTAGCTTAAAAAAGGAAAGAAAAAAAAAAAAAGACTCAGTAAGCATCTTCTCATGAGGAGGTCACTCAGGCTGGATTTCTATGAGAAAGATCAGTTTATTTCTGCATCTCACTTGCTGTTAGATATAAGACTGATTTTTCCAAAGTCTGTTGACGTTGAATGGAAATATACCCATTAACTCCAGTACTCTTTGGATTAGGTCCACTGTAAATAATGAAATACATCAGATGCATTGCAGAAAGTTTAACAAAGACATCAGGCTGAAATTAATTATTTATCAGTTTTGCAATCCTTATCCAAATATTTGGAAACTTTGATATAGGAAGTAGATTCAATGGACACCAGTTAAAGCAGGAAATAAATAAAAAAAAATAAAACTACAGGTCTGTGCTGCAGCAAGGTACTGTGGAAGCTTTTGAGCTCCACTGCTTGGTAATTTGTTTGGAACACTGCTTCAGTGGAAATTTTACTGAACCACAATTTACGGATTATCCTATTTAATTTTCCTAGTACAGTGTTAGCTGTGCTTCTGAGTCAAAAAAGTTCAGGTCTGGTCCAGATGAGCCCTAAACAGAATGTCATCCAGCCTCGACACTCTTGCTGTCTCTAGCTAAGCTGCAACCTCATTGTTGCTGTCTGTACAACAAGAATTGCCATGCAGTGGGAGAGAACTGGACTAGCAAAGTAAGCTGTGAGTACAGCAGAGAGTGTCTTTTATCCATCCCTTAAAGTGACATTTCTTCTTTTTAAATACTTCAAATTGAGGAGATGTTGTAATGAGTCAACTGTATCTTTCAAACAAATTATTTTTGTGAAACTGAAGGCAAAGAGATAAATCCTAAGGTACACTGTTTCCTCTATTCTTCAGGCCCTTTGTGACAGATATCAACTACCACAGAGCTGGAACTTTGAGATCATGTTGGTGTCACAGGCAGTATTAACTGCTTTAGCTAGTGCTGCAGTTAGTCAGGGCATGACAGCATCTTAAATTCTGTCACGCTCTTCATATTTATTTATAACTCCAGTATCAATATTTATGGCCACCCCAGAACATTCTTGTGACATGAATTTCTCTGAGTGTTAATCATTTCACACCGAAGAAGAGACTGACAGAATGATAACCTTTGTAGTTTGCTGGTAGCATCTTCCACATTGCAATGTCAGGATTAGCAGTTCCAGGATTAGGAATGTGCTGACATTCAAATGATACACCAAACCTACAGACTCATTATTTAAAATAAGTATAGCCACTATATTACCTTCTCATGTGGGGTTTCTATAAACAGTTAACTGCAAGGTGCAGATGAGATCTAATAAAATATACAGATGATGAGAGTTTGTGAAACATAGTTTATTAAGTGTTATAGCTGTCTTGAAAATGGCAACAGCAAGTTATCTACGCAGGCAAGAAGAAACGTGCTGAGCAAGGAATTAAGCAGGAAT